ATTGGGAGGCGATGTCTGGGGACGGCCTGCGCAAGCTCGTTCTCCAATCCACTGGAGCGGCCGACGAGGAGGACTACGAGAACATCGCCAGCGCTTCGTGGACGGCCAGCGGCGACGCAGGCGACAAGACGGGCGACGTCAAGGTTAAGGTCGAGGAGGCCAGCGAGCTTGAGAAGCTCCAGAAGAGGATCAGCGAGCTGAAGGAGAACCCTCGCGGAGCCTTCGATCACTTCACTACCGTGGGAGTGGAGGCCATGAAGATCAAAACGAACGGCCAGAACAACCAGGCCGCCAAGGCCTACGCTGGCGCGCTGATGTCCGACATCGAGAAGCACATTCCGAAAGTCACCAGGGTCGCGAAGCTGCTCGAGAAGACGCTGACCGACGATGCCGACGAGTCCGCATTCCCGAAGCTCATCGGCATGATGGGCGAGATCAGGCGCAGCCGCGACAACATCCTCGAGTGGGCGCAGAGGTTCGGGCTGCACGACGCTGCCTCGAAGCGTCAATCGAGGAAGCGCAAGCAGTAGACGGCAAGCTACACATGTTTTGGTTTCGGTTGAGTCGGCAACTCATGCGTTGAGGTGGGGCCAAGAGTTGCACGCAGATTTAACCACTTGGGGCGCTAGACGAGAATCCAGAAACGGTGCGAGTGAAAACCATACAATGCAAAACGCCCAGGGAACCATAATCCCACCAGCCCTCTGGGCGCAGGTAATCTGGGCCCGTCCCCTTTCCAACCTCATGCATTTCCCTGCTCGGGAAGTTTACCCCCCCCCCCTCCCTGCGTTTGGGCGGGGGGTGGGGGGGGGGGGCGGGCCCATAGAAGCGTCCAAGATGGCCCAAGATGGCTCCAAGAAGGCCCCCGAGAGCATGGCCCAAGATAGCGGTAGACAGATCAAGATAGCCTCCGACACGCGCCCAAGAGGCCTCAAGACGGCCCCAAGACAGTTCCAAGTGCCCTCCGAGGCCTCCAAGGACCCCCCCCAAGAGGCCAACATCATTCAAACACGCAAAGAAAATCAATGGTGTTTGCCTTCTCGCTTTTTCGCCGCCGAAGGGCTCTCGAGGCCTCAAGATGGCCCCGAGCCGGCCCACTACAGCCCCAATAGGGGCCCAAGAGAGCCCCAAGACGGCCCCAAGAGCGCCCAGGAACGCTCCAAGAGCGGGCCCAAGACTACATGTTCGTTAACGGGCTTTCTTAGTGTGCGTGTAGATAGGGCCGCGAACAGCCCAAAATCGAGCGTCAAACTTTTCAAAAATATTGACGCTGGTTGTTTGGCTTAAGAGGGCCCCAAGAAGGCCCCAAAAGAGCCCCAAGAAGCCCCAAGAAGGCCCCAAGAGGACCTCAGGAAAGCCCCAAGAACGAGCCCCAAGGTGCCCCAAGAAGGGCCCCAGAGAATCCCAAGAGGGCCCCAAGATGCCTCCAAGTTTCGGAAAGCACGCGGGCTTAAGGTACAAATCAGTGCAACAGCCATTACGAGTCATCGAACTACCTCACACCTCTCATCGAAACACCATCGTAACTTGCACTGGCTTCCATCTTAAACTTCAATACGGGAAGCTATGTGTGATGCTTGTGTTCTCGAAGACGGCTGCGCGACTGCATGCGTTCTGCCGCCCCTGATTCACCAACTCCTCTGCTGATCGTTTCTGGATGGGCTGGTGGGGGTGCGCGAAGCGTCGAGACTTTGATGTCCAGTGCTCCTTAGCTCGTCGGTGCGCCAGTGTCAGCGATTCGTTTCTTCGAGTCATCCGCGATGAATGCCGTTGGGCTGCCCAAACCATCCCAAATTGAACGAGTCCCCTCGTAGGCCAGAGATTTCTCCGTAACTATTTGGGCTCAATTTGCAGATGAGGGGAATATTGCGCTTACTTCTTTACATACCATGCTTTTCCACGCAAGCAAGCTGCACGCTTCGTCGCAGGCTTCGGGAGGCAGAGGCTCCGCTACCAACTGGCGACGGCGAGGATCGATCGCGCTCAGACGGCGCCCCCACTAGTTTGCACAAACGGCTTCGCGCAGCAGAAGCCGCGTCGTCGTCTTCCTTTGTTTCCCACGGGCCGTTGCCCTTGACTCAGAGTCTCCGTCGGGATTGGGCGAGGGGGAGGTTGAACAGTCGTCGAGTGCAAGAGTGCGCGGCCAACGCAAGGTTGCAGGGGGCTGTTGGTCTTGATTCAGCCGCGGCTGCTGGGGCCCATGGCAAACATCCATCGTCGATTCATCGTGCCATCATGGGCCTTTCGGGAGACCAGCTGGGGCCCCAGAGCTAGATTATGTCGAATTACCGAACGCAGCTTCGAAAGGCACGAGACCGCGCCCCTTCTTGCTGCCCCATAAGTTTTTTCAACGGCTATACAGTGAGAGGCCGCAGTGCTGGATAAAATGCATGAGCGGCGGCCCTGGCGCAGCCTTGGAATACTGGGGCAAATTTGCGACCGCGCCATTCGTGCAGCACCGCCCCGTGGTGAGACCTGATATGTTCGCCCGTTTGGTCCCAATCGGGTTTCATGGTGACGCTGGAGGATTTACAGAACATGAGTCTCTGCTGGTGTTGTCTTGGAACTCGTTGTTGGGTTCGGTGTCTACTCGTTACAAGCGTTTCGTTTTTACGGTAACCCGCAAGAAGGATTACAACAAGCACATCCTGAATATCATAATGTCAATTTTTGTTTGGAGCGCGAATGCGCTGCTGACGGGAGTAACGCCGCATGTTGATTTAACTGGGCGGCCGTTTGCAGGGGGAGGACAACCAATGGTAAGTGATTGGTTGGGGTGCCTCTGTCAAGCCAGAGGGGACTGGCAATGGTATTGCGAGCTGTTCGACTTCCCAAAGTGGAACGAGAACGAACGGATGTGCTGGATGTGTTCGGCTAGCGCGGCTATACCTTTGTTGTTATATACAGATTGTTCGAGGGGGGCACGGCGACGATTCACATAATTCACACACGAACCATTCGTATCTTACATGAATGCGAAGCGCCTGGACCTGCCGTGAGTATTCTTGCAATTGGTAGGTTTTCGATTGGAGTGCGTGTTTGTGGACGTTCTCCACGCGGCAGGCCTCGGCATGTCGGCATCGATCATAGGGAATGTCCTCTGGGAATCAGTTGTGCATCGTTGCTTGGGGGGCACCACGATCGATGAAAACGCCCGCAAGCTCAGAGCAGATCTAGAGGCCTGGTATAAATCTACAAGGTGCCCTGTGCGCCTGCAGGGGGGCCCCACGAAAGAACGACTTCGCCCAGATGGACAATGCCCAAAACTCAAAGCAAAAGCAGCAGCAACGAGATATCTCGCAGAGTACGCACTTATCGTGGCTAAACGTTTCTCCAGCGGCAGCGGCCGCGATTGTTTGAAGGTAGCAGTGGCAGAGCATTTAGTCGATTTTTACAGCATAGTGTCGGGGGCTGGCCAATTTTTCACGGATGATGAGAAAACAAAGTTTGCGGCCGTCGGAGATAACATGTCGAGGCTCTGCGCAATTCTGTCGGCGGAATCTTTCGCGCGAGGCGAGAGATTATGGAAGTACGCCCCGAAAGTCCATCTGATTGAACACCTCGCGTGTGGCCAGGCCCCGATAAGGGGGCAACCCGAGATACTACTGGACATGTGCAGACGAGGATTTGGTAGGATTGCTGGTAGAGATTTCCGAGAGTTGCCACGTTCGCACTTTGCCTACCGTCGCTTTGTGCAAGTGGTTGATCATTGCGTTTGATGATGACTCAGAGTCTAAGGGAAACATTCTGCGTTACGCTTCGCGCTGGCACGCCCCGACTATCATCGCTTCGCGTTGGTGCGCCCCGATGTAATTACATCGTTTCACGCTGGCACGGCCCGTTCAACTTGCCAATGCATGCATTGTTTTGTTTGGTGTTGTTCGACACAAGAAAAACGACACCATTTCAAAATAGAGACGATGATTACAAACAACAAAACAAACGAAGAACACCAGCACAAAACGACCACTAACACCAACAACACCAACACACAGCAACAGTAACAACCAACAGAGACCACAACAAACACCAACAACAAAACAACACGAACCCATGCCGACCAAGAGCAATAATGCATCACTCCTGTGTTTTCCTGGTCAACGCACTCTATAATATAGATATAGGTGCCGTATCCATAAAATGGATTCTCCTCACTAGAATTATAGCCTGATTTCACTCTATTATGGGAGATTTCCCATATTATAGGTTGAATTTTCTATAATATAGAGGGGCGCTGACCCATAATATAGCGGTCATCTTGGTTTATGGTGATTCGCCATAAATGTGACGGATCTGCTCCTCTGGGAAGGCTGGGGCCGGGGCTGCTGGGGCTCGGGCCGGGGCCGGGGCCGGGACCCCCAGGGGGGGAGTCGCGTCTGACGAGGGGCCCCCCCCGGGACCCCCCGGCGGGGACCCCCCAACCCCGCCCCGGCAGGGGAGGGATCGAAGGGAAGGGGCTTCCCTTCGACTCAATGACAGCGTTGCTCTTGAGGGGGAGGCCCTGGGCAAGCGGGAGGAGGGCGGCGACGGGCCCACCATGCAGGGAAGAGGGGGAAATGGGGAGACGGGCTCAGGGAAATGGGGAGCGCAGGGACAGGAGACGACTGGGCCAGGGAAAGGGTGGACGCAGGGGCAGGAGCCGACGGAGACGACGAAGAACGAACGACGGGAACGGACAAGCCCTTCACAGACGCCGACACAGGGTCGGCGGATTTCTGGGATGCGGTCGTCAAGTACGATGGGGATATGATAACCCTGGAGGCAGAAATAGCAGAAAACAGCAGGCAGGGGCGGGGAGAACTCCAGTCCCATTCTGGCGACGTTTTGTTTTCTTGTCAATCAGGAGCTGCGTGGCCCTGGCACCTCTCGACTCTTTCCCTGCGACTCACTTCCCATTCCCGAGTTTACGACCCCAGGTGCCGAAACTGGAGAAAGCCTCCCTTCTGATTTTGCTCAGGACGATGGAGATTTGGGAACGTTGTTTTGGTCGCACCGTCGAGGCTCCCCGGCGGGCACGACTACGGCGCTGGCTCTGGGGGCGGCGCCGCGCCAGAGCAGAACTTCCTCTTGGGCGAGGAGCAGCTGTGGGGCATCTGCGAGCCCTACATCCAGGAGCCTCAGGTTGGCGGCCAGTCTTCCCACGCTGTCGGACTCTGTCGGCGCAGCGGTAGGCCCTGGGGTCAGCATATCCAGGCATCGGCCCAAGAATTGAAAAGCCAGAAACCAGACCCCAGCGTGGGGCGAGGAGCTCCTGGAACTCACGTTTCGGGCAAATCTGTTTTGCGACGCGCCGTCCACGATTTCAAACCACGACCCAAAATGGCCGACGTCACGATTTTGCGGATCGTTACGTCGGGTGTTCAGGAGATGATCCTGGGCTTGCAGCAGGAAATCCAGAGGGCGGCGCAGGCGCTGCTGAACCAGAGCAGAGCGGGCGGTTCCCCGTCGCGGATGCCCCCGAGGCAGGGAATGGGACGTCGTGGTGGCCTGCCGCTCACGCAAGTGGACGCTTTCAACGCCATGCCTTTCGGCTCGCTGCTGAACTCGCCCAGCCCGGGCAACCGCGCGGTCCCTTGCGAGCCGCTGCGCGAGGAGGCAGACGCGCTCTCCGCCCATGGGGCGGCCGGCCAGGGAGGCTTGGACGATGGCAGCCCTCGCATGTCTGGCCTCGGCGAGGGGCATACGCAGGATGCCGCCTTCCGTCGCACACCGACCAGCGTGTCGCCAGCAGTCCCAGCGGCCCCAGAGCCGCCGCCGGACCCGACCGACGGATGGCCCCGCACGTCACCAGCAGAGCAGGGCTCCGGGGCGTCCCGCGGGCGGGCCGTACTGCTCGCCGACTCCGGGACGTCCACGGCGCAGCCAGCGTCCAGTCGGGTGCTGCCGGAGGCGTCCCTGGCCGAAGTTGTCCCCAGGATTTGCACGGAGGTCCCCGCGGCCTCCAGAGCACCCCTCACGAGGCCCAGAGGGCCCCAGGGGCTTCAAATTGGAGCGAGAAGCCGGGGAGACTTTGGGCCCGAGACACCTTCAGCAACCCCCGATCCATGCCGCGCGGCGCTATACCGTCTGCGCGGAACCAGCGACGGACACCCTCGGTGTCGCCGCAGGCCCCGCTGGCGCACCCCCATGGCTACAGCGCCGGCTCCGTGGACGACGCGCCCCTGGATGCTGACAGGAGCGTGATGGTGTGCCGGCACTGGAGGTCGAAGGGCTGGTGCCGCCTGGAGGGTGGGTGCAAGTTCTTGCATCCAGACGGCAAGAGGGGCACTGCCCCGAAGAAGGGCGGCGGCGCCGCCAGGGACGGCGCTGGCTCGACCAGCGACGGCGTGCCCCCTGGCGGCGCGGCGGCCGCCAGCGGGAGTGCAAGGGCCACGGGCACGAGGTCGTCCAGGCGTCTCGGGCTGGGCAGGGGCGCTCGAGGCCAGCACGCCGGCGGCGCAGCTGGCCCAGGCGACGGCCACGCGTCGGCTCCTGCGCCAGCGCACGCGGCGGCCATGCAGGGGGCCCCGCCGAGCGGTCCAGGTCGGAGTGACCAGGGCAGGCACGGCAGGTGAGCGGCTGCCACTCAGAGGGCGAAGTGTCCACCCCCGAAGCCGAGTCGGACCACGTACCGTACCGCCTCGTCAAGCAGCCTGACCTCTGCGGGCTACATCACGGATAGCTTGGTCTCGCTTGGTTCCCGCTAGGAGGCGAGTTTTTTTTGTTGCTTCAAGAGCGCGCTAATTCGTCTCGGTTGCATCTTGGCCATGGAGCTTGCACGATACTCCCATACACATTGCATTGGGTCACACGCGGCGGCGCGGACATAACCGGGCTTCGCGCGGCGCCCCCCGCGGGTTGGAGAGGCGCCGTTCTCTCCAGGGGGCAGCGCGAGAGCACGACGATCACCGCGCGGCGCACAGTACTGCAGGGCGCGATGTACAGCTGGCCAGCAGGTGGGCCCGCCATGCTATATCTGGCCACGCGCAGAAGGGGGTAGGGGGAGGGGGGAAGGCTTCTTAGAAGCACCCCTGCTTCTTAGAAGGCGCGGGCCTTCTTTGTAGATGTAGGTAAGGCCGGCACCTTTAAGAAGCAGCCTCCCTCTAAGAAGCCTCCCCCCCTCCCCCTATCCCCCTTGCGCGCGCCGCCAATCTGTTTTCAATGATTTTTGTTGTGCTCTATTGCCTCTCGCAGGGCACCCCACAGGCCCCTCGGCCGAAGGCCTTCCGGCAGCCTCAGCACCCACTGTGCCAGGCGGCTCGGGAGCGCGACCTGCGACTCCAGGGCCACGGAGGCAGGGCACACGCCCCTGCCCTCGTCGCCCGACGCCATCGAGCGACGGAGGCGTACGTCCCTGCCTCGCCCGGGCGCAACTGCGAGATCGTTCGACCCTGTGAGGGGGGCGGAATGCGTGCGTGCAGAGGCCCTTCGGGTGGCGTGCATGCGGAGCGGCTGCTCCCAGCACTGGCCCCATAGTTGGCGGTGCTGGTGCATGCATGCGGCTCTTGGGGCAGGCCCTGCGGGTGGGGGCGGGGAGAAGGGCAGAAGAAGAAGAAGAAGGGCCGCCAATCCCTTTCTCGCCTTCCAGCTTCGCCCCCTCCCTTCGCTGAGGCGGAGACGCAGATGGACGAGGACGAGTCAACGGGCCCTTGGGCCGGCTAGTTCCCTCGGAGGTGCGGTCCCGCCGAGCACGCCTCCGGGCGTCGCTCCGCCGGGCCTCCCGCCGAGCGCCGCCAGTTTGGTTGGCGCTCCTCTCTTCTTAGATATAGTCGTGCCACTCTCGTTGCGTGGTTTTAGCGCTGTTGCCGCGATTGGGCCGGCTAGTTCCCTCGGCGGTGCGGTACCGCCGAGCACGCCTCTGGGCGTCGCTCCGCCGAGCCTCCCGCCGAGCGCCGCCAGTTTGATGGCGCTCCTCTCTTCTTAGATATAGTCGTGCCACTCTCGTTGCGTGGTTTTAGCGCTGTTGCCGCGATTGTGTGCGCCATCTTCGGTTTTGTGCGCTCGTCGTTTGTTTGCCCTCGATGGCGCTCTTGCTAAGCCCACGGGGCTGAAGCTGGAGCTGCTTGGGCAGCCGTGTGTGCTGGCATTACTCTCTGCTCGCTTGCAGGCGCTGCGTCATCAGGCTGGGAGGATGTGGGTCCCTAAAACAACACGACTGGTCGTCGGCGTTGCCCCCCATCCTGGTTCCCGCTGCTCCTTTGATTTCCGCATTTCCTCCCCCCAGTCATGTTTTTCCTCCTTCAATTTCCTGTCGCCCACGGCCGTCGATGGAGAGAACGTCAGACATGGCTAGTATGTGCATCACGTTTTGCTTGCCCACCTTCCGTGTCCTGTGTTCCCATCCCCTCGTTTCTTCCGGCGTGTTCCCTTGTCCCCATCTGGCTCGTCATGCTTACCGGGGCATGCTATTGTGATGATTTCTCTCACTACCTTCTGGAGGTAAGAAGTGGGTATGGTATACAGGGTTGTCGTGTTCATCCATGTAAAGGGGACTCTGGCGATGTTACTCATCGCGGGTAGCATCGCCATTTCCACGATTGGCTTCATACCCCTTTCTCGGGGATGGACAGACCCCCCTTTAGTAAAACGTGGTTTCGTGAAAGCGACCTGAGGCCCAAACCTGGCGGGCGCAAGCCTGGATAATAACGGCCACGGCGCCATCTCGAGAACCGAAAACGGACAATTCACGAATCGACGTGTCACTGTGGGGGGTTCTGTCCCCCCCCGACTTTCTGCCACAATTCTTTCCGACCTCCAGATGCCTCTTCCCCGGGCTCCGACGGATGGCAAACGCGTGCTCCGCAGCGCGCTCGCCGCCCGCCCCATGGGCCGCCTCCCGGGCGACAGCGGATGACCCTGACCGCCGTCCGACGGTGCTCTCTGCTCCGAGGGGCCCCGTGCGGCAGGTGGAAGAGGTACTGGTCGATGTTCCACGAGCTCCAGAGGCACCGCCGGCCGCTGGCGGAGGCCCACCCCGCCCGCCCCGTCCCTCTGCGAGGAGGGATTCGGGGAGCAGGGAGCAGGGAGCAGAGCACTGCATCGCCTTCCTCCTGGCCGTGGCCTCCTGGGGAGGGTGCGCAGCAGAAGCGAGGCCGGGCAGCAT